GTAAAGTATAACAAAATATTTTACATTTGTTTCTTGTTAGATAGGGAATTGATTTAGTTTATAGTAAAAACCGATAAATTCAAACCATTAAAAGGATTTCAAACTGGAACGGAATACAATATACCGAACGTAACTTTGTTTTAAATTACTGTCATCAGTTTGATTCATATGAATCAAACTATAAACATTTGTAACGTGTGTTAATTTATACCATTTAAATATACAGAATGATAAAATTAATTTTAGGTAATTAACTATGGATATGACTAAAAAAATAAACACTAACCGTCATTTATATTTACAATGTTAATACAGTTTTCCGTGTAGTCTCATTCATTATTTATAATTTAGCTGATCAAACTTTAAGATCATGCATTAATTAGTAAGATGAAATCACATACTCTATCACATTTAGAAAACATTAGAAAAAAAACAGAAAAGAACATTAGAAAAAAATAAAAAATGACATTATAAGGTTTCAGATACGTACAAACATCTACCTGAATTCATTTACGTTTTTTAAGAAAGCAAAAGATAAGTCAAATGGGTAAATAATGTTATTTTATAAAATTTAAAACATTTTGTCTGATAAGATGAATAATGACTAGCAATAGAATCCAAGACGTGAGTTTCCTCTTATCTGGAACTCGTCAGCTGGATATAACTGCATCTCAGAGTTGATGTCCACCCTGAGACTGAAACCCAGTACAGTTCGCTTCAAACATCATCGCGTTATCCACTCAGCTACTGAGTTCTGATAGTGAGTTAAGGCCATATCGAGGCAACACGCATAGTGTGCACATATGCCAATAAAAGACTGATCAATCGCAGTTCTAAACATCAATGGGAAGATTCAAACAAACAATATCAAGTGAATTTTGTATGATAGGTTCAATATAATCTTATTTAATGAAGATCTGACTCACTTTGAAGGATATCTGGTGGTGCACGTAGCTGACTTGGTGAATCAATACATATTTTCTAACAAACGGGATATATATATATATTTATATATATATATATATTTTATATAGACCCTAGCAAACAGATATTACTATGCAGAATAATTCATAGAACGTAACATTTGGAAGAAAAGTGAAAAAGTATTAACAGTAAATGAATAAAATAGTATGTGAATGGTACAATTTTATGAAATGAACAAGGTGTATTGAAATTCCTCTATAAAATTCACCAGAAGAAGCTTGTACTTAAGCCATTTTCATGGGATTGTTCTTCATCCGGGATAAATTCTATTAGCTAAGGGTTCTAGTGAATAAATTAAGAATAATGTTTCAAAGTTTTTGTGTAGGTATCTAAGACAGAGTTCTTGATTATTAAAAGTTAGATCAAATAAACAATAAAACTTCACTAAAAAACCAGTATGTACAACCTGTATGTACAACAATTTAAAAGAATGTTCGAATTTATCGATCCATCAATCAGAAGAAAATTAATTAGTCAGTTAAGACAAACTCTAGGTACTAAAAATAGAAATAAATACGTGATTCTATAGGCAGATAAACAGGCAAATAAAACTTAAGTCAAAGAACTAATACAATAAAACAATAGCTTGGAATGTTATCTTACTAAATATACTACTCATACGAACTTAGCTCACAGATGTTATGTGTCTTGTTGTTGTTTGAAACTTTAAGCATTTCACGCATACGTGACAAAACAAAATCAAACGTAAGACAGAATATGTTGTTTTGATGTCCTATATTTTTATTATATCTATATCCGTTAATATGGCTTTATCATAAGGATTATGAGGAAACTGAGTTAATTTAGGAAAATTTCCATGGTATGAAAAACATTTAGAAAAAGCGAAACTGATTGGAATAATGAAATGATATATACATATTTAAAATATTACCTACGATAACAAGTATACTAGTAGGCTATTACTCCAGCTTTTTACTTGCATTATGCCTGGTGTTTGGTAATACTGACGAATTATTTAGGCTTAGTGATTATTTGAAAACTTAAGTTAATGATTTACTTAAGTCATTTTCAAGCCTTCGTATATCTGACACTAGTAGATGAACCTCTGGAATCAAAACAATACTGAGTAAATGTTTGACTTTCAAGAAGGTGTTACAATCGGACAATAAGGAATATATATGAACCCGATACAGAAACTTTCAGGTTTCATGGTTAGCAGAATACCATGTAAAAACTCGGTTCAACCAACTGACTTGCATTTTTCTATTTTAATCAGTTAGTGATATATCAATGTCATCTGTTTGTAGCTACTTTATTTCCAACTATATTGACCCCATAGATCACAGATAAACATTGGTAATATTGAATTGTCGTTTCTTTAAATTCCAACTTACTATGTTGCTGGAGAAGTATTCAGTCTAGCCAGAAATTCTCAAATAGTCATACCGGGTCACTAAATTTATTTACCACAGTAGTCAGTGCGACTAATAAGAAATGGTTGGCTGGTTGTAGAACACCCAACGTTTCCAACCCATCTGGTTCGTTATCCAGCAATGTAAAAGGTTCATATAGTACCAGACAGTCTGAAAAACTAGTTTAGCTTTTGGCTTTAAATCTTATTTAGCTTTCACTTCAGTGTAGGAACCAAGATGATCTTGAAAAACAGCGAAATTCTGCTTACGTTTGTCACTCATATGGGAATGGGATTGTTGGGGTAATGAACGAGATAATTAATTACAAATAAGGTCAGATGAATGATCTAATAGGTTTCATCATGTAAGCTCGTCAAGACCCAATAAGTTGAGAATATATCGGTGACATAACATACAATTTTAATAATTAGCTCATTAAGTTTATCAATGTTTGTGATAATACTGACAATTTAATTGAGGCAACAGATGCATTCTCTAAGCAGCCTTTTGTATGATAAATACTCGACCAACGAAGTTCGTGACAAGTTTTGTCAGAAATCAGAGTAACATTGGAATTAATGTCCAACTATCATGTGATAACTTCATCATTTACATCAGTAGATATATGTTCACATAGGGACTCAGGATTATATTACGATACTGCAAAAAACGCAATTCATTCAGCTCGAGGAGTGAAGTGTGATGAGAGTTCGCTGTTTTCATGAAATTCCTCTATTTGATCGATCGTCCTACATTTTGTAAATTTATGAATAATAAATGAGCACATAGTTTCAGTAACTAGTGTGGGGTTCTGGAGAACTATGGAAAATTCTGCGTGTTTCATAATTCTAAATATTAGACATCAGATTTAAAAATGAAACTTTCCAAGAGCCGAGTGAGATAGGGTTTATGACATTTAATATCTGATTTGTATCGAATGAAAAATGATGTAGCACATTAGAATTTGAGCATGAGATCATTTTTGTGCCATTTTTGAAATTATTATTATTATTATTATTATTATTATTATTATTATTATTAGTGTTATCATGAAGTGGCAAGTCCGAAACCTATGCTACTTGACTTCAGATTGTCGGAAAAATATCTGTGTCAGATGGTGTTTGTAGTTTGCATGCAAAGGTAAGACACTTAAACTGATCATCTGTGAGTGAACGTAACTTCAAATTCTTGTACTTCTCATTAAACAACGTGGCGTTTATAAGGGAATCATCTACTGGGTTCTTACTGATTTTGGAAGTTATATTAAAATGTAAACGAAGAAGTCTGAGTAGTAAATATTCCCGTGAATCTTTACACAGTACTATGAAAGGAAGTATCATGCGGTTTGTTCGGTGAAATGAGATTTGAGTAATTTTCATATTCTACTGCTTGTAGTTTTCGAAGGAGAGCTTGAATCTTCAGGGGTTCACTGGAATGTGGGAAATCAACATGAAAAATAACTTCATATTATCCTGAACCACGATTTAAACATAACACCTGAATTGGGATTGAATTAATACTCACTCATCGGATTATCTAGGGATTCAGCACCTGATTCTATTACCTCAATTACTTGAGCTGAATTGACTTGAATTCCAAATTTTCGCTCCATTATCTCAATGAATTTCAATCGTCACATTTAAAGCCCTTTTTGCTGCCGTAGTATCGACTCGATGTGGTTTCATAATAGCGACATTGTTGATCTTATTTGTGGCTAAAAATTGAAGATCGGCTTCCGGGTGATTATGTTGTGTGGTAGTCTGAGTCTGTGACTAAAGTATATGCTTCTTGTTCTCAAGGATAACCAGCTATTTGAGTAAAAGATGAGAAAAAAGCTTTTATTGGCTGACCGGGTCGAGAATATATGCACAGCTTGGTTACATGCTCTTCAGAAAATCAAGTTATTTTTTAATTCACTAACATTACGTCTACTTTCTAAGAAAGTGAAGTAAAATTTTAATCGATAAGAAGAGAACTTTAACAATTCTTACTTATCATCCAGCCTATGTGTAAACCCTTTGCTCAGGTGTCTGCTAGGAGTTTTCACGAATCAACAATAAACTCAATAGACAGCTTATTGATTTATTTAAAAGGAAACCAAAATAATGTTTACTACTTTCAGCAATATTTTCTGTCACTTAAATTATACCAATTTTAAGAAAATAAACATTATTTAGAAGGTTAGACATTAAATTGTTTTGATTCATGTCAAAGAAAGAAAAAAAGAAACAAAATCCACAAAACACGATAAACTAGTAATTGATCAATTTGATAATTTATTAAAATCTCCTCCTTAATAAAATCAACTCACTAAATATATTGTTGAATGTTTGCTCAATTTCGTGGATTGTTTGAAGTTAGACATGAGCACTGCTTAAGAGTCTCACAATAGTACAAAGCGGCTGTCCAGTGCTTCCAGGTTTTCCATGGTAGTCTAGCTTCAATTGACTCATGATTTCAACTATATAAAATTTCACTTCCAGTTATGTCTCGATAATTATGTCAGTTTCTTTATTATTTTTTTAAAACAAAAAAATTTGTTATATTTATAAAAATTTAAAAGAATTCTGATTGGTTGATTTTATAAAACTGTTTTGTATTTTAAAGAAAGAAATAACATGCATTGACAATAATAAACGAATGAAATAATTTAAAGGATATTAATATTAACAAAATGATAATTCTCTTATTATTATTATTTATTTTTATTATTTTAAATGATGAATATAAAGAAAAATATTTTTGTTCACACTAAAAATAAACAAGAAAAAAATGAGGAAATTCGATCGATTTTAAAGGAATTTCAAAAAGGTTAAAAAAATTTTTTATGTTTTTTTACTAATTATTAATCAATATTATGATCAATAATCAAAAATTTATAAAAATAAGAAAAAACAAAAGAAATATTTCAGCTATTTTATCACTATTATTTTGTTTCTATGCATTTTCCAATAATAAACATTATGAGAAATGTACTTTTAATGTATCCCTATAAATTGATTACAATATACTTATTATCAATATTAATCATCTTTAATGATTATTATTATGATTATATAATGTGTAATTCATGTCATTTACAAACAAACATTGAAATATTTCATTGTTCCCATTATGGATTAACAACATTACCTGGATTTATCCATGAAAATACAATTGAATTAGATTTATCCTATAATCTTATAGAAATATTACATGAAGATAGTTTTACACGTTTACATAATATACAAAAATTAATTTTAGCACATAATAAAATTTATAAAATTACTGAACGTGCCTTTTTACCAATTATGAATTCATTAATATGGTTAGATTTAAGATTTAATCGATTAATATCAAATTATCATAAACCATTCCCTGTATTAGCATTTTCTCAACTTGCTTATGTACGTTATTTAGATTTAAGTGGTAATGAATTGAATTATTTACCAGCAAGATTTTTATATGGTATGGGTATGAGTTTGAAACGATTAGAAATGAGTTTATTATCAAATAAAATTTATACAGAACCAGATACATTTGATGGTTTAAATCGATTGCATCATTTAAATTTAGCTTATAATATATTTTCTAATCTTATGGAAGATGCATTGAATGGTTTAAGACCAGAGCATTTTTCTTATTTAAATTTAGAAGGTGTAAAATGGACATGTGATTGTCACATATTATGGTTTCGTCAATGGTTAAATCGATTACCGAAGAAAGCTTTATATATTAGTTCAAAACCTGGTGGAGAATGTGCTTCACCATCACAATATCAACATATGGCATTAATGTATTTAAATTTAACCTCATTACAATGTGAACCGGAATTAATGCATACTATACCATCTCATCATGATGATAAAAATGTTAAGAATAGCGTGAAAAGGAATCTTACTGATCGTGATACCATACCAATTCATGTATATGGTATAGAAGGTGAAAATTTGACTTTGGTTTGTTCATTTATTAGTGAACCTAAAATGCATATTCAATGGTTTTACAATGGGATATTAATACAACCACATTGGTCACATGTTATTCAAACTATTAGTCCTGGAATAAAATTTACGACTACATTATTTTTTAAACAATTAGATAAAACTACAGATGAAGGTTATTACAAATGTCAAGCTAGTAATTATAAAGGTCAGGCTTCAGCTACATTCTATGTTCATGTTCAAAAACCGATCGAACAAAGTAATCAGTTACGATTATTTAACAAGAATTTAAATAATAAACTAGATTATACTTCTTTTTTATTTAATCCGATTATAATTACTATATTTATCGTTGTATTCAATTTCACATTTATAATAACTGTTTTATGCATAGTGAAATGCATATACAAAAAACGATTATCACATCAAAGTCATAGAAAAGGACTGTCTAATAAAGCATTGGAAACGAATATTGAACCACATAATGTAAGTTATGAAAAGTTGATAACTGCAAATTGTGATTCAAATATGAATAATAGTAATAATAATAATATTCAAACTTTTACACAGATTAATCTCAATCCTATCAATAGTAATCAAAATCACAAGATATGCACTGACTTTATTTCCACATCTTCTAAATTACACAATGAAAATTTGAGTAATATACGAGAGATCGATAAGATTCAACAGATAGATGATCGAATAAATGATGGAAATAAATGTTATCTAGGTGATTTATTAAACAATAATAATAATAATAATAATAAAAGTATATTACAATCAAAATTATTAAATCATTCAATGAAACAAGGAACACCTTCACCACAAAGTAGTGATATGGGTTATTTGACATCAAATGCATCTCAAAATTGTGAAAGTCTGATTGATTTAAATCCAAATCATAATGAATATAATTCTTCAATAAAACAGTTAAAACCTAGAGTTTATTATACATTAGGTGTAAGATCTGGAAATCATTCACCTGAATTAATTTACTCCTTAAATAATACAAATAAAAAACATCATTTGACATGTTCAATTGATCAGGATTGTTCAATATCTGATAACTCATTATCACCAAAACAAATGTCTTGTTCTCCTGAATCATATTCATTTCATCAACATTCTGACAACTATCAGTATATTAGTCAAAATACAAAAAATGTTTATCATGATAAGACATTTGATCACATTTCCTGTCCAGTACATGGATTAATAAATAAGAATGAAAATGATTTCAATCCAGTTTATTTAATACAAAATCAAAATAATTCTGACTGTCCAATCCATGGAAGTAAATCTTTCACAAATTTAGGCAAATCTATTTATAAAAGTGAATATAAACTAAATAAATCTAAACAATATCCCAATAAATCTTTAAGTCTAAATTTAAATTATTTAAATAGGACCTTTCTAGAATCAATAAAGATGAATTCTTTAGATGAAACTTGTGATGACATTAAGAATTTACGACAACATCATAGAATTAATTGCACATAGTCAAAGATTTTGACTTTCCAGTTCATAGAATAAATACCATTATATCAGGTAAACAATTTGCAAATTAATCTATTTATTGTTGATTATAGATATTTCTATTGTTATTTTAAACAATAACAAATGTAACTTAATAAAGTTTGATATAAAAATAAATTATTATAATGAATGAGATTATGTAATATTTGATTAATTTTCTAATCTTAATTAATGTATAATAGAAGGGGGGGGGTTGTGGAGATTTTAGTAATTTTATATAGTTGAAATGATGAATAAGAAAAAGAGAATTTAGAGAAGAAAATTTTCTTTTCGACGAAATCATTTACTTAAACTGTAAATTCGTTTATATTGTTATATGGAAAATATATGTCTACAGAAGGCTAGGAAAGATTGCATTATAAATTGATTTGACAATAAATAACAAATGAGGTGACGAATCTTCGTCAAGGTTAGAACGAATAGCTTGACAAAAATTGGGTGCCGAGTATGGAGAAGTCATTATTTAAATAATTCTAACGTTTCGTCCAGCTAACTTGTCTGAACTTCTTCAGGGTAATAATCAAAATCAATGTCATCAATGAGCTGACGTACTAATCAAGCGGTAAAGAAGAAAGTAATTTATGGATAAAATAATAGTCCAATTGACAGATGTGAAGAAAAGCGGCAAACACAAAGGTCATAATAATAGACAATAATAATCAAGAAAACTTGTATAAGGTAGTAATAATAATAATGGATTAGAGTTTAAAATGTAAAACAGTAATTTAAAAACCAAAAACCGATAATGATCAAATAAAAGTGCAGAAAAGAGAAAAAACGACAACCAGAAACATACCCATTAAGGAAATTAGGGCCAAGGAAGGGTGAGAGGTTGGACAAAACGTTTCTGCACGCAAAGTTTAGGCATGAGTTCGTGGATTGTCATTGCCTCAGCAGTGCATAAAATATTGATTCGATCCCCCTTCGATCCGGGTCCTTTGACTCTATAAATTACTTTAAAAGAGGAGTCTTTTAGAGCGATGTGTCCACAGTTTATCAAATGCTCCTGTATTGAAATAGTTATCTTTTTACATTCTCCTTTCAAGAACCAAGCCGGATAGTGTTCCGAGATGCGTTTGGAAAACCTGGAAGCGCTAGACGGCCTCCAGGTTTTCCATGGTGGTCTAGCTTCAATTGGCTCATGATTTCAACTATATAATATATAATAGTTAATGAGAGTATTTCACGTAATATTTGATTAAAATTTTGCAAATGAATAATCACAGTTATGATAATAGTATTTGATTTACTTTTCTTTCATAAATGAGATATTGAATAAATCATGCGAATATAATTGCCTGTAACAGTTTGTTAGGGGGAGTTTTCTCTAATTTTCTTGATTCATTTTCTATGAATGAAAAGTAGTTTGTATTTGTATAATGTGCACTTATATTGATCAGATTAGAAATATTGTGGATCTAATTATCTTAAACTTATTTTCATTTATCGTTTTAATTAAGCGGTCTATTTTTTGACTTGTTCCAATAGCCTTAATACCTAGTGTACAAGTGTGTGAAGATGTACATAAATCGTAATTGTTAGAACTATATATATATATATTGAACTGCCAGTTAGTATGTATCAAGGGGTTTTGAAAAGCAAGCTTTTGATGTGTTATTTTAAGATTTCCTGTTAATGAGTTTTAAACTTTATTGATTCACTAGGTTACTAATGAAAAGAAACTTTTATCTAGACTAAATAAAGACGATTTTTGAAGATATTAGTACTTTCGTTAGTAGTTCAGTCCTCCAATCCGATAGTAGGAGTTCGACAAAGATTGAAACATAATCACTAGGATTGAAGAACCAAAATTTAACGAATCGTTAACTTATTATTATCGCACATAAAATAATGTGCACAACCTTGGTAATTCATTTAGTCTAATGATTTTAATCTAATCTAAACAGTGCCAAAACAACAAAATTTACAGAGTAAAGTGAATTCATTCTATTTCATAGCCTCATTTCAGCTACAAACAGACTAAGATTACAAAGAATAATTTAATATACTTTAGCTAATGAAGTTGGAAAAGTAACCAAAAGTTATGAGAATAATAGGATACACATAATATGATTGAATATGTGTGAGACTAATACAAGTATGTATGTTTTAAGACAATAATAATGATAGTACAGAACAGAAGAGGGTGGTGTTGTGGTCACCAATACTCAGTTTTAAGATATTCGGACTACTCAGCCGTATAGAAAATGGTAAATGGTCATGTAAATACTAAACGTAGTTTAGTTCAAAGAAATACCTTCATTGGAATCTGAAATTTGGAAGTGGTTGAACAAGTGATGTAATTAAAAATCGGTTAACAGCAGTGATTATAGGTACTTTCTATGCGAAAAATCTTCAAGTAGCATTCACTCGTTGAAACCTCTTCTCTGTATCAGTAAAAGGTTAGCTTTTCCGTCTGCTATCTTCCTTGTCTATCTACCAGTCCACCTGCTCTCGTGGAGCGAAGTACATAGGCTGTAGCCAGTGCTTGGTTTTCACTAAAATACGAAAACATGTTCCAGTGTGGTTCCACAAGGTTCAGAGGAAAGTAGTTAGAAGTTCCATTCTTGAACATCTGATCGACTCTAATCATTCTATCGATCCACAGACTGACGTTAAGGTTGTTTATACAATTCGTCCAATTCTACCTAAATTTCTTTGTATCCAACTCCTTAAAGTAGAAAAAGCTCTTACCGTACATGAGCTCAAGCTGGAACTGTATATACAAAACATGAACATTTTATCGTTATCATCACCTTGACTTTAATCTATTCTTATTATTACTATTATTATTGCATTTGTCCCTTTACTTACGTCTCATATCCTCATGATTTTACTCATAATTATCTCTGAAATCAGTTCATTTGATTTTACATTTCTATTACTTTCAAATTTTGTAACAAAAACATTTTAATCATCTTACTTCATGAACATTACAATCCGTTGCTAACTTTTCAGTATATCAAGGCTTTCTATCTGTGCGCATACAATCCTTTATTATTGTTATTATTCGTATCGCATAATCTAGCATTAACATTTCGTATTGGTCACCCCTACATTGATGATTTGTTTTGATTTTATATTACAAACAATCCTAAATTCACATGTTATAACTTTAATTGATATACATTGCCCTAAACCTGGTCAATCTTTTGGATTATTAATTTGAATGTATAATTGTAGAATCTGAACTGGACTTATTAAAAAGAATATTCTTCGTTCATATTATCTATTTTAACATGATACAATAATTCAGCGATCAAAATGTGTAATTGCCAATGAGCTATTTTATTCAAAATATTTCACTGATATCTGCTACCTGTTATGATTAATTTTAAAGACCATATATATGTATGACGCCCAGTTAAAGACTCTATCCAAATAAATCCTCAAAGATCACATAAATTTCAATTTTGTTGATATGCCTCAGTACAAAATTACAAAAAACAGTACTTCCGTTGATTGATAGAAATACTACTGTCAGTTAAACAATGAAATCTATTTCATTTAGAAGGAAGCACGTCTAATTCTGGTAATTTTTTTAAAATTTTTACAAACATAAATGAATATTTTACTGGTTGTCATATTGGAATAATCATTACATTATTGAGCATTCTGAAATCTTATAAGATAAAAAAATCTTTAGTGTTCACTTAGTTTCTTTGCAAGGTATCATAAATAAACAGACCTTAGTTACATAATTCTCTGTCTATAGATCTTTAATTCACAAAATCTAAATGAGATCAACAAAATAAAAAGAAGAAATCAAAAAAACATTGAAACACAATATACATTTTCAGTCAGTAGGTCGAAACAGTTCTGCGGAACAGAAAATGTAAACCTTCCACGATAGTTACTAAGATACTTTCATTATACAAGATTTCAACAGGAAATAATTTGATTGTTTTCTGGAAAGATCAACGACAGCTGATTTATTGAGAATTAACCAATCTGTCTATCCGGGCTATTCTATCATTGGAAATGTGAATTTACTCCGTTAGAAGTTGATCCCATTATGAATAAATTTGTTGATTAGATGTGGTGTATGTAAATTAACATTCTCCGGTCATCAGATAAATTTTGTGTGTAATCTAATATTCCTAAATTTTGTCGAAGAGTTTTCTCCGGATCATTTTAGATTCGGAATTTTGGTTTTCAACATTACCTTAACTTAGATCAGTCAAGTTTGTTCATTGTAAAATAAATTTACAAATTATCTGTATACTTTGATCAGGAATGTTTTGAAATATTAATAAGTACTGAAATAAAGAATATTTATGTTTTGCATTGCTGTCATCGGATCTTGACTATGAAATACACGCTTCCCAGATATGATTCCAACTAGATACATGAGTAAGAAGATTAAGAATGAACAAAAAGCAATACTGACAAACCGAATCCACTTTTGCACAAACTCATTTACGTATATATATAATCCTCAAATAAGTAAACCGAATCTCGACCAACAGCAAATATACATTTATACCTCTCACACACCGTTTAGTTTTGAATTAGCATGTGAGGACAGCAAGTGATGTGTTTTTATTTGTCCAGTTTACAATTTTATCATTGTTTCGTGGACTTGAGCCTTACCATCACCAAGAAAATACAATCCCTAGTTAATATATACCATATTTTAGATTCGAGACTGTTATTTTATAATAATGATAAAATTGACAAGCGACTTCTAATGTTTGTTTTAATTCTTGCGACTAAATTTTCATTAACGTTTTTAAGATAGAATCATATGATGGATTTTAAGGTTTTTTTCAAATATAAACAAACTACTTCTCTATGGTGCATTGTAATTCTATTACAATTAATTAATTTCAACATCAGTGATCATCCATTTCTATAATTCTAAAACATACTTATAACCATCTATAAACATAAATATAAGTAGAAAGTACAAGTTGTAATTCTCAAAAATAAAACATGTTTGGATCATCTAACTAAGTGAGAAAAAGAACAATGAAAATGAATAGTTATTGATTTTCTATACAAATTCAAATGAAAACATTCAATGTTAAATTAATTGAACATGGCGAAAATGTATATATTTGTTCAAATTCAAATAATTTCTTTCACTCATTTTGCTTCTCATTTAATTAAGTTTTGTACGTTTCATTCTTA